CGCCTCAGGCCGGGCTGTGGGGCGGGCGCGGTGCCCGCCGTGCCTTTCGCCACCGACCCGCATCGAACAGCACCGAACAGCCCGGCCGGCCCAGACGCTCGGTTCGCTCCTCACCGATCGACGGAAAGGTTTTCATGTAGAGCGGGGCTCTCGCCGCCGTTACAAAGCGCTGCCTCTCACAAAAGGTGCTCCCGTGTGAGAGGCTCAGCTGCATCGATGCTGGGAGAGCCCCGTGTGCGGATTTTAAACACTCTTAGGCACAATAGGAAAATATAAAAGCGGCTTTTACACTGTCACTAATGGAATGAATAACCTTAAAAGCAGCTCCGTGATCAACCTGAGCAAGCTGGAAGGTTCCCTGCCTATGGCAGGGGGTTGGAACTATATCATATTTAACTTCCCTTCCCACCCAAAGGGAAAAAACTCTGACTCTATGGTACATGAATCCCTCCCGATATAGTTATGAGACAGTGAAGTGGAGAACACGTCAGTAAAGCGGCTTTGGAGCAAAACGCAGATTTGTGGAATTCGGGGAGCGCAGGGCTGTGGGCAGGCGGTGGCGCTGCGCCCTGGGAAATCCGGCCTGGATGCAGGAGGAGTTCGACACTTCGGGGGAAAAAACAGGAATAATCAGGGTTCTGTGTGAAGCAGCGATCACCAGAGTCGTGATCTGGAACAGGACTAAAACAGGATATCAGCAGAAATTAAACTACAGAAAAAATTTTAAAAATGCAGGAAAAGCTGGCACTGCCAGTTAGCTGCAAGATAAAATAATAAGGTCGTATCAAGACCCTTATTTTTTCTGTGCCTCACCAGTCTTCCATCATTTACCCTTGCAGGCAGCAAACGAATTAATTAGAGTTGTGTCTTGCAACGTGAAGTGACCAGGAAAGCTGAGGTCAGGTAGCTCGCTCTCGAGTGCTCTCATGTTGCTATTAAAAGATGTACATTATATTTTTATAGCTGTGACAGTGTTTAATTAAAAACTTGGGAGCGTTTCCATATTCCAGCAGGAGGTCAGAGGGGCTGGTAATGTTGGCAGGATGAGCTCTCTGGGTGGTGTCTTTTCCATGTCCATCACTGAAGGCACTTCCTTGGCTTCACCACCATCACCAGATCACAGAAATGTTTAGATTGGGAGGGACCTTAAAGATGATCTTGTTCCAAACCTCTTCCATGGGCAGGTGCAAAAAAGGAAAAAAAATTAATGTTTTGCTTATGTTCAACATTTGCATAAAAAATCAGTCTTAAGAAAAGCAATTCAGAGACGTTGGAGTGTGATTCCAAGTGGTGACCTGACCCTGACTGTCCCTTATTTTACTGCCAGGCTCCCAGATGAATATTTTTAACACAGAGATTTATCCTCACCAATTTCAGCGGTGCTGAAAGAAAACCAGGGAAAGAGTTAAGATGGGCCAAAGCATTAAGATGCATTGTAGCATGGGAAATACCAAACAAAATGATTGCAAAGGGAAAATACTTTTATATCTAATTATCATATATTCACATTTCTTACAGGCTAATAACAGACTAGTTGTTCCTCTACCAGAGAAGCTGTAATAGATCCGATACCTGGTTTGCCTGTGTTGTGTGGATAAAACCTTCATTTCCTGTTGGGATAAATAGAGATGGGCTGCAGTGTGCAGCGTGGGGTCAGACTGCATGTGGCATTCAGGTACAGCAAGGTGGAGAGTAAAGTATAGGTTGGGCAGTAACGAGGCACAGGGTAATATAGAAGGAGAGCATATCCTGATGAATACAGCAAGCTGGATCTAGCAGCAGGAGAGAAATGGGAAACTTGAGATCATCTGTCTTCTGTGAGGAGAGGGGAAATTTAGTTACGGGGCACTCTTAAAAACACAAGGCTGTTTCCTGAGACCCTTGCTCAGAGGGAGTTGTTGATAAGAACAGACTGTTACTATCTTGTGATAATAAGTGAACAAGAATGTGGATTCCATCCAGGAGAACTGTAATATCCCTATGCTCTCATTAATTAAATTCAGGATATCAAAGATAACAGAGGTACTGGCCTAATTTTATGGGAGTGGGGAAGGATCCTGTTTGATTGTACAGCATTTTACCCATCTCTCAAGTCTAACAACTTCACTCTCATTTACCCAAAATCATCACTTACCTGACGAATTGTGTGTGCACAGGTAAGTGCCAGATCCAAGGAGGAATCCAGGAATAAAGCAGTTTACAGATGCAGCAAAGTGAGCAGTTTTCCATCACGACACCATGCTGATCCCAGCAGCTCACGCTGAGGGACTGTACTGCCAACCTGTGGTATATGGAATTCATGAGCTGGGCATGTCAACATGTCAAGCATATGAGGTTAACAAGTAACATTTTCCTTTACTGATATATTTTTCTTCTTCTAGTAAGCATTTTTGTTTCCAATTTGGGATCAACATTTTTAGCTTTTATGTAGCATCACAGGGACAATAACTGTATTCATTTCTATACTTTTCTTTTTTAAAGGTAGCCAAGACAAGAAAAACAAAGTAGCGTGTAATTTGCAAAAAGAACATACCATCTTTTTAAAATATAATATAAAACTGGCCTCTTGTCAGTGCCAAATTTGCAGAAATACTTCAGTATACCCTTTTGAAAAAGAACACATTCCTCAATCTATTGTTAAAAAAAAAAGTTATTCATGAAGTAACTCATGAACTCATGAACTATTCATCTGTGTCTGAAGTTAACAGTTCCTTTTGCAACGATGGTAAGTATCTCCTGTCAGTTGCTCTTTCACAAATCCATGAGAAAGCAATGCTCTATAAAATGAAAAGTCAGAAGAAAACAAATCCAGCAAATGGACTCCACTTGGAAAACGTCCATGGTGGAGTTATGCTTCAGCCTGCATTTAAATCCATACACATCACCCCGTGCTGCCCATGTTTATGTTCAACCACAGAAGATTTGTGGTTGACCTACATATGCAAACAAAACATTTGCTGCATATTTGGGGTGGGGGGATTTGCATGATAGAAGATGATGAAAATATGCATAATTGTAGATGACATTTTTCATTGCCAAGTCCTGCTGCACAGCCCTTTGGAGCTGGCCATGCATGAAAGAGGTTTGCAGTCCTGACGGGCAGATTGCCTGGCCGTGCTGCGGAGCTGAACCGCTGAGACATTGAGCTTCTGTTTCTTCTTGAGCAACACAAATCTGGTATAATCATCTCACCAAGCAGCCCCTGTGCTCGCAGAGGACACCTATGACACTTGCTGAGGGGGCTGAAACCATGAGTTAGTTCCACATGTCACCTCCGAGTTCACCTCATGGCAGCTCAAGAGACTCAAAGGTTTTGTTTAGTTTTCTTGGTATTCTTAAAATCCCCAATGCACTGGGGAGTAACATCACATAACTTAGTCAACAGCAGCTGGTTTATCTGTTCTTGCCCCCACATCTCATCCCACATCAGTTTTTCTAGGAAGTCTCCTGGTGTGTTAGTACCCTGGAGGCTTTGCTCTAAAAATTCCACTAGCACAAGTAAATATTAATAACATTGATAAAGTGGCATGGCAAACCCAGATCCCTTGAGACAGTAAGCATGCACAGATCTCTCAGCTTTTATGTGTGCTATGGAAGTGCTCTCCTGTAACAGGTTTTGTCTGCCATTACTGGATGTCTGTCCGGTTGCTCTTCCTATGTCACATCTTATTTATCATTCAAAATCTCTGCAACTCTGCTGTGCAGAAATAAGTGCTTATAAGGGTTAGCAGGAAGGAGGAAAATTCCATGGCATCAAGGCCAGCTCTCCTCCTCTATCCGTGAAGGTGAGTTTGGAAAAATCTGACAGGATCAGACAGGAGCAAAAGCTCCTGTCCCACAAGCCAACCAAGGAACCAATTAAACACCCTGCCTGTAACACCCACTACCCAATTTACACTAATTCAAGGTCTCTTCAAAAGATGAGCTTATGTAAGAAGAGAGACTTCCATGCAGAGTCCTGGGGAAGCAGAAATGTGCACCCATGTGAGAGAAAGAGAAGGAAGGAAATCTTGGGAGCTTGTGCCTGAGAAAGAAAGCTGATACAAACCTGGTCCCTGCAGAAACACTTGCAGCTCTGAGCCAAGAAGCTGTCTTGGGGCTTCACTCCTACTGTGTTCAGAGAAACGGGACTTTCTGAGTGCTTTGCACATCAAAGGAATAACTCGTTCAGTACCTCCATGTGATGCAAACACCCACCATGAGGTTTGGCCAACTGTTCAATGCTACTCAGGGTTTGTTTATACTAAATCCGTGACGATGTCCTGTGTAAATGCTTCATTCCACATATTTGCCCAGTTTCATTGTCCAGAAGAAAAGGCATACAGCTTTTTTACTTCCAGTGGAGTCAAAGAATTTTCTTTGCCCAACAAACAAGCTAGAAAATTAACAGCTTTTTAGGTTTAGCAGCCTTCAAATTCAATTCTTGAACACAGATCCAAACCATTAACCTCAGGAGATTTAAGCCCTATGAAAAGTTCACAGAAGTTCATGAACAGGGAGTATTAAACATCTCCATTCAATTGTGATCTAACAGAAACTGGCACTGCAAGCTTTATTAAATAACAGTTGCTTTCTTTTTCTCAGGATTCCCATGAGATATTTCTTTCCTCCTACCCAGAGGATTTTATAATCTCTGGGATACTGGAAAGCACCAGAATGGAATTAAAAAGACCATTCTCGTTATTTCATCCTGTTCTTTCTATCAGATTTAAAATTTTAACTCTCCCAAGTGAAGTCCATATGCACCCACATATATAGGAATGCTCTTGTGGCAATGAGAGGGTAATGAGGAGAAGCTTTGAGCAGCTCAGCACGATGGCAGGTTCCTGCATGCCTCAGCTGAAATGCAGTATTGCAGAATCAATGTAGACACTCACCAGTAGTGGCTGTGTTAGGTTTTTCCCCATATGAGTTGAGCTTTGCTGGCGTTAGCATCAAAGGAAGTATGAGCACAGCCTGACTGGGTGGCATCTCCTCCTCCTTGGGCTTAGGAGAACCAAAGACCTGAATGTTGCTCAGTCAGTCCAAGGACATTTGCACACAAAATCTATGTTGTTTATTCAGGTCAACAGATATTTTTTTAATCGTGATAGGTACAAGGTAAGAAAACAGCCATGAAATGTTCTAAGTACACACAAACCATCACCACAGACCACACAAAAAATCACCAACAAAGAACTAAACTGATGAATCTGCAGGCGAGATGTGTATCTAGAGGAGCATCTTGGACAGAAACCAACTGACAAAACCCATATTGAGTTATGCTGTATAAAAGCAGGATTAGCATAAAGTTGTGAATATTTAAATGAGAAGGTAATACAGTGCTATAGATTGGAAGGAAAGAAGTCTGTCTGGAAAGAGAAAAACTTCACAAAGACAGAAGGCTGACCACAGAACCCTCCCCAGAAAGAGCTGCTAATACCTCAAAATACTTGAACATGTAGGGTCATAGTCTGTGAACCAATATTAATTCCTTGGGCTTTTTCTCCCTCTCTTAATTAAAAGTTTCTGGATTCTTGGCTCTTGCCCATCTCCCACTGACTTACAAGGACTCAAAATGCCAAGAAGCTCAGGGTGATCACACTCCTGAGATGGATACTGGGAACTGTGCACTGTCTGCCTGTGGCCAAAGTTTTCTTTTTGGCTAATGCATAAGCCACATAAAAGGGGGCATCAAAAAACATTCAAACATCTGGCTGGGAGTTACTTTTATGACTCAAAAATTAATTTGGGGGAACTCAGATGAGATCCATTGGCACTCGTGTAACCCTCCACCCTTTGGATTTTACACAATTCACATTCCTGATCACTCCTGTAAATGGAGTGTGGCTGTACCAACAGACAGAGGACAAACCTTGGGCCTTGCCATCGAAGCTGAGCACATCTCATCCCTCACCTGTGCTGGTGCTCGCTGAGGAATGTCGTGTTCAGGTGTGCCAGAGTGGCATCCATGAGGGTTCACCTGGCCCTGGCAGTGCCTTGTCACTAAGACCAAGCTGTAAGGAAAGAACACCATGAGCACATGGGGTGCCACAAATCCTGAGAGCATTCTGGTGACACAGTGGGCATCGACTGCGTACCAGGATTCTGAGAGACGGCACGTGCTAATTTCTAACAGAGCTGTAAGTCACACTGACATGAGACACACATAATGTAGGTGACCACTCATTCGGGACAGCCCTTGGAGATATTTGCACGGATTGATGAGATCCCCTCTCAGTCTTCTCCAGACTAACCAGGCCCAGCTCCCGCAGCGTCCCCCCACAAGCGAGATGCTCCAGGCCCCTCATCATCTTCTGTCCGCCCAGCGGAGCATCCCGCCCGCCCGGGCCGGTGCC